CTTGAGCAGTTCCGATAGCATAGAGAACAGATCTCCTGTTCTGCCTAGTTTTCTGCCTAGTTTCCCCCACGCGCCGGCCATTTTCCACTTTGTTTACACTAGAAGACCTCTTTCACTCTTCTCCGAAAAAGCGCTCAACTTTTTCTGCAAACGCAGCTAAGTCTCTTGCACACTATAACGATCTTCTTCTCTCCTCCCCCCCTCTGTTTTTTTAACACAATTCAGTTTGTTTATGCCTGGGGATCTTCCCCGGCGCCGCTTCCAGATGGGTGGTGGGGGGGAGAACTCACTTTTCAAACTTTTTCGCTTGACTCTTTCTTCGATTCATTGACGGTCTGCATCCAGACTCCTTGTAGCTTCGTTAAATCGCTGACCCTCACTGCTTGTCCCGGCCGGCATCAGCTGAGCTCGGTAAAAACCGAACCTCTCAGGGGGCGGACCGATTGGAGCAAAAAGGAGCACCTCAATTCTCCGGCATTACGCCATCGAAGAGGTCGCCCCTCCAGCGCCCCTGGCTTGGAGCCTTTCACTAAGGCTCACCTGGGGGTGTCACTTGAGGTGGCACCCCTCCAACCCCACTGGAGCGCGGAATGCCGCCATCGCTGGAGCGTCCGCCATCGCTGAGCCACAGACCGGAAGTCTGGCAGCACTAGTTCTCACGGTCTCCCTATCGCTGTTTACGGCAAGCAGGCAGAGCAGCGAGCAAGCTATGAGGCATGCGCCGTAGCGCCAGGGTCAGAGAAGGGAGCAAGCAAAACATGGCTGCTAGCTGACAGGAGGCCATTTTCGGGTCAAAAGTTTAAAGGGAAGTCTTTTGTTGGAGGGGTTGGATTGATTCGCCCTGGTGGTTCTGTGCATGCACCATGATAGTTTCCCCCCATTCTATGGATGAGCGCTTATGTGCATGCGCAAACTGAGAGGGGGGGGGGAAATGCCGACACATACTCCCGCGCGTCAGTAGTGTAGACACCGGGGAGCGATGTGACTGTGTGGTGAGGGGGGATAAGGGAGGTAAGTGTGATCACAATTATGCAGATCAAAAATAATTGCGTCAGAACCAGACCAGTTTAAACCGCTCTCAGCATGCCATCTGAACGCACCCTGAGTGTTCCGCTAGACTGCAGGCAGGGCATAATAATTTTCAGTGCTCCTTTAGGTAAGCAGAAAACTAGAAGAACAGAGTGAGCAATAGGGCTGATCCTTGTCTGGTTATGCTAGCTTTCTTCATGCACAGGGGTAATACTCAAAAACTGTATTTCCCCTACCTGAAATGGTTGTGCGTCTTGTCCGCCATCGCAAGATTTGGCCACTTCATTCTTCCCCATGTGTCAACCAGCTGCCGTATCACTGGGAAAGGGCTCTTCTGCATCTTCCTGAATCACATTGCCCAACTGGTACAGCCTCCACTGTGTTCCTGATTCTTTAGGACTTAGGGTGCCGGATTCTTCCTACACGCACCCATGCCATAAAGGTAAATGTAAAGGTTCCCTCGCTCGAAAGCCAGTCGAATCCGACTCTAGGGTTGCGGTGCTCATCTCCGTTTCAAAGCCGAATCCGACTCTAGGGTTGCGGTGCTCATCTCCGTTTCAAAGCCGAAGAGCCAGCGCTGTCCGAAGACGTTTCCGTGGTCATGTGGCCGGCATGACTAAACACCAAGGCACATAAAACACGACCACATATCCTTGCTTCCACATTACAGCACGAAGCCTCATAGTCCCATCCAAGCACATGCAAGACCAGGCATCCCCGACCTTTTTGAGCCTGCAGGCACATCGGGAATTCTGACACAGTGGGTAGGTTTGCCAGTCCTCAGGTCCCAGTGGGGGTTCCCCTACTTTTTGGGGTTTCTGTCGGCCACTGGCCAGCTGGCCGGCGGGGGAAAACCTGCCCTGAAACAGCCACATCTGGGCGTGACGTCCCCAATGAGATGACGTCACCTGGTAGTGACATCATCGCATTGGGGGATGTTGCACAGGACGCTCTGGTTTGAGGGCAAAACTCTATGGTAAATTTGGCCTGAAACCATCGAGTTTTGCCCTTAAGCCAGTGTTGCCAATGTGATGACATCACTTCTGGGTGATGTCATCGTGTCGGTGACATCCCAGAACACCCCCCCCCAAATCCCCCCGCTGGTGTGGCGAGGGGACCTGGCAACCCTAGTGGTGGGTGCAGCAACAAAATGGCTGCCGCAGGAGATGGTGCCGGCCACAAAATGATTCCCTCGGCTTAACTTCGGTCACACAGTGCCGATTCTTGTGCTGTGCCGGCAACTGCTGCCAGAGCAACATTTAAAAAAATCTACACAGGCAATCAAATCTCTAGGCAGTTTGGTGTCGTGGTTAAGTGCGCGGACTCTAATCTGGGAGAACTGGGTTTGATTCCCCACTCCTAGCTGCTGGATGACCTTGGGCAAGCCATAGTTCTCTCAGAGCTGTCCTTGAAAAAGAGCAGTTTCTGTCAGAGCTCTCTCAGCCCCACTTACCTCACAGGGTGTCTGTTGTGGGGAGGGGAAGGGAAAGGAGTTTGTAAGCCGCTTTGAGACTCTGAGTGAAGGGCGGGGTATAAATCTTATCTTCTAATAATCAGAAGCCTTGCTGGGAAAAAAACCCACCTGGCCCTGTGTCAGCAAGCTGCCAAAACTTCATTATTGTCTATGTTTCTCTATGCGTCTTTCCCCCCCCCCCTCCGTAGATGCGCTCAGCTTGTCATGCGCACATCTCCCCAGTAGCTCTGCATTCCTTTCAGTATACGCCAGCCATGCTTTGATGTAACGTTATCTAGCCAAGGCCACAGGTAGAAGAGCAAGAGAGCTTTGCTTTGTCTTTAATTAGTAGAGACTGTGAGAATTGTATGCTTATTTATAATAAGGTAACCGTTGCTTTCCCAAGGTTTAGGCGCGCAAGAAACCCTTTGGTCGCGTGCGGGAACCATGTTTATTGGCTGTAATGATTATGAACTTGCTTTAACCTTTCCAGCTCTCTGAGCTATCATTATTCTTAACAGTGGCTCTGTTCAAGGGCTTCATGGCTTCAATAAAGTAAAATCTTCTTGCAAGTGTGTACTACGTTGTTTGCTGTGGGGACCTGACACCCTGCTCGTTTCCTAAAAACACTTGGCGGGCTCCAGAAAAGGTGTTGGCGGGTGCTGTGGTGCGCTGGGGACCCCTGTGCAAGACCTTACCCTGCAGGGCACAACACGCCTAGCACAAATTCCGTGTTTATTCTCCTGGGACGATCCAAGACGAAGGACACCCTGGTGACCGATTCCACTGCCAACAGTATGTCTTAATCACACTCTGGTCCATGCAGACATCACGTGGGACAGGCTTTGGACGCCGCTTCCTTCCCAAGACTGCTGGCACATGTGTCCTTTACTCAGACACTGCTCCCCGCCCCCCCACTCCCCAAACACAGGAGGCCACATGTCCACTGAACAATTCCCTGACCAGGAAAACGACATTTGAATGGGCACATGGCCTCTTTGTGTCAACATTTGTGGCCGGATGAAAAAGAAGAGGAGACTGGATTTATACCCCCTGCCCTTCACTCAGAGTCTCAGAGGGGCTTACAAACTCCTTTCCCTTCCCTTCCCCACAACAGACACCCAGGGAGGCAGGTGGGGCTGAGAGAGCTCTGAGAGAACTGCTCTCTTCAAGGACAGCTCCGACAGAACTATGGCTTGCCCAAGGTCATCCAGCCAGGTACAAGTGGAGGAGTGGGGAATCAAACCCGGCCCTCCCAGATGAGAGTCCGCGCACTTAACCACGACACCAAACTGGCTCTCAGATTATTTTTTCCACTTTGGGAAAAGGAGGAAACTGCTGTGCTGCTGCTAATTCCATATTTCTTTATTTCCTGCATACAATTTTTCCTCCAAATAACAAATGAAATGATGATGATGTGTCCAATTTAAACAGTGCAACTGGCAAGCCTAAATAGCCTATCCACATGGGAGGTTCAGCTACACCCAGGAAGCTCTGTAGGAGAGAGGCAGTTCCGTTCTTCTCCGAGCGAGGGAAAACTTCAAACAGGCAATGGGAGTGCATACAAGAAGCTGAATTTGACTTAGAAGCGCAGCCCAGGTCCCTAGTGGCGTGGAGCGCCACACGAGCAGAGAAGCGGCACCGAATTTTGAACGGCCACTACCACATCCGGAGTCTGAAACTGACCAAAGCGCCAGGCAAGAAACAAAATCAGAGATCAGGTTCTGTAAATATATATATTTTTAAATCAAAGTAACACAAGTTTGTATATAGGCAGAGCCGCCCATAGCGGTCATTTTATTTCTTCTTTGAAAATAATGCTGGCCCATAAATAAATTAGCCAAAATAATCGACAGAAAAGGAAGACCATGATTCAATGGGGGGGGGGGGAGGAGACAGTTCCGCCCCTTCGTGTCAGAAGGCAACACCCACCGCTCAGGCTCCACTGGACTGTTTTGGATTGCTAGCTATTGGGGGGGGGACGTACGTGCAGATCTGTCCTTGCAGAGGAGGGAGAGCTTGTACCTGAATAAAACTTGGGTCTTAAAGGTGCCATTGGACTGTTTTGGACCAGGGGGCCGGTGGGAGCTCTGCAGCTTACCTGGCTGCTTCTTGCTCTGACTGAGGGCTGCTGGGAGCAGGGGGTGGGGCTTGTTGCATGTGCCCGTCCCCTGGGCTCTTTACTGCCGGAGCTCCACTGCCCTGTCCACTGGGCTGCCCCAGGAAGAATTGTATTTATGATATTACGAGACACTTTCAGTGTTCCCTCTAAGCTGAGTTACTGTGAGCTAGTTCACAGTTCTTTAGCCTCTGGCTCACACATTTTTGCCTTGGTTCAGGAAGGATGGCTCCAGAGCAAACTAACTGATGCAGCAGCCAAATCGCTCGCTCACAACTTTCATGCCAGTCGCTCACCAAGTAGAATTTTTGCTCACAGGACTCCACATCTTAGAGGGAGCATTGCTTATAATGTGAATAGATTTGTACTTTATTACGGTTTGCTGCCTTCGAGAGGAAATTTATAAATTAAATTTAAAAATAAGTGAGATATGCCTGGGCAGTGCCAAGGGCAGCCTCAAATAAACATGCTGGGCTCAGCAAACTCCGCTGGGGTTTTCTTCTGACTCTGAGCATCACCAAGTCCTGGCAATACACCACCTGGGCCACTCTTTCTTCAGAGCAACTGTGGTCAGGCAAGCAGAGTTTTGGCCAGGGCTTCCTGTACCCAAACTCCGGCTCATCATGGACACCTTGGGTATGCAAGGCTGTAAAAAGGTAAAGGTAAAGGTTCCCTTGCTCGAAAGCCAGTCAAATCCGACTCGAGGGTTGCGGTGCTCATCTCCGTTTCAAAGCCGAAGAGACAGCGCTGTCCGAAGACGTTTCCATGGTCATGTGGCCGGCATGACTAAACACCAAGGCGCAGGGATGCCGTTACCTTCCCACCGAAGTGGTACCTATTTATCTACTTGCAATTTCTTGCTTTCAAACTGCTAGGTTGGCAGGAGCTGGAACTAGAGACGGGAGCTCACTCCGTCATGCGGCACACTCGGGCCTCGAACTGCTGAACTACCGACCTTCCACAGCCTGCAGTTCAGCGTCTTAACCACTTGAGCCACTGCAGCTCCATGCAAGGCTGCAGACCACTCCAATTTCCAGAGTCAGACTTATGCAAGGTCACGCACATATACTAATTCTTAGAGCCAGCGTGGTGTAATTACTAGGGTGTGAGAGTAGGGGCATTTCCTCTTCTTTTTGTCACGTGTGTGCCCCTATTGCTTTAGGTTTTCCCCCCTTTTCTGCATGTGTTTTGCTCCCTCTAGTGGTCGCTTCAATATTTCGTTATTGTATCTCTGGAGTGTTTCCCCGCACATTTAAAGTGGTGGGAAGTACACCTGAGATACAGCGATGTCATATCGAAGTGGACACTAGAGGGAGCAAAACACATGCAGAAAAGGGGGGGAAACCTAAAGCAATAGGGGCACACAAGTGACAAAAAGAAGAGAAAATGCCCCTACTCTCACACCCTAGTAATTACACCATGTTGGCTCTAAGAATTAGTATGTGCACGTGACCTTGCATAAGTCTTGATTCTGGAAGTTGGAGTGGTCTACAGCCTTGCATGCCCAAGGTGTCCATGATGAGCCAGAGTTTTACAGGATGCCCTGCCCAAAACCCTGCCTGCTTGACCACAGTTGCTCTGAAGAAAGAGCATGGGGTTGGATCCAGCCCGCTTTTTTTGCACCTTCTCCCCCCTGCCCAATTCTCCTCCCTATTACAGCCACCTCCCCATACAGCTTTTGCCCTAGGGTTGCCAGGTCTTGCCTGGCTGCCGGTGGTGGGGTCTCTCTTCTCATTCTGGAGCTTTTGGCGCGTGCGCAAAGTGCACACGCTATGATGACATCACCTAGAAGTGACATCATCGTGCAGGGGACACTCTAGCATCTGAGGGAAAACTCTATGGTACCCACAGAGTTTTTCCTCAAATGCTAGAGCATCCCCCCTCCCGCACGCGCAATGTGCCCTGAACAATGACGTCACCTATGGCTGACGTCATTGCGCCGGGCACGTCGGTGTGGATGGGACTCTTTGGGGGCAGGGTTCCCCCAGCCAGCCGGTTCGGTGGCAGCGGATCGGGGCCCCAGAAAGCGGGCAAACCGCTGCCCCTTTTGGGGGAATGGCAGCCCTATTTTGTCTGAGTAGGCCCTATGACCCCCAGCTTAGCCTTGACGATGCTCAAGAGGTCTCTTTCTCCTTTGCCAAGCAGAAAAGCTGGTTGGATCTAACCTGTTGGCAGCAACGAACAACACAAGCGGCTCGGGGGCCCTGCTGGGGAAGAAGGCTGGGTATCAACGAGGACATGGCACTTCCCTAGCCTACGTCTACTAGGCTTACTCATGGCCTAATGCTGTATTTACCTGAAGCAGCCTTTGTGGAGGACACGCTCAGCACTGACTTGCCCATTCCACCAGCCTCCAGTAATGGCGCTCCTTTGCTTGGGGCCAGGGGACCCTGGCTGCACTTTGCACCCATCTCGCAGCTCTGCCCCCTTCCACAGTCTGCTGCGGCCACGGTGTGTGGAGCATCCGTAAGAGAATCCTGCTGGAATCCTGACTCCGCCTGCAGACACAAGATCCCACGGCAGCTGAAAAACTCAGCATTTTGAACATCTTCAGAAGAAGGATGCTCTGCAGACCACTCAGTACCACGGCCGGGAGAAGATACCTCCAATTCACCTATCCCAGTTCTGTCCGCACTGACGTCTTGGCTGGGGATCTAACCTGACAAGTGATAGCTCAACCTGCCCAAGAACCTCAGCTTCCTTTTCCTCAGACCGCAAGAAAACCTCGGATCCAGATAGCTGTGGGGTTGCATGGAGGGGGGGGCAGCTTTTCAGAGGGCAGCCCCCGTGAGCCCTCCCCATCCAAAGCTCACCATCAGCAGCACTAGGGCAGCATCTCACATGCTAAATTAACTCCCCTCTGTCCCTCCCTTCCCCCCCCACCCATGGCTTCTTGGGATCCAAAAGCTGATGGTTCTAGTAATTACAGCAGTGAACATAAGCCCGAAAGGGTGAACACACATGAAGCCCTCTGGGGTCTCAGAATGGTGGCCTTTCACAGCACCTACTGCCTGGTCCTTTGCAGCTGGAGATGCCGTGGATGGAACCTGGGGCCTTCTGCACTAAAAGCCACCTGGGATTCAGGTGCGTGCACCACCACCCGCCTTGCTGCGAACAGGTGCGTGCGCCTGAATCCCAAGTGGCAAATCGCTGCTGGGAAATCAGCCCTGCATGCAGCAGCCCCGACCATGTTCTCAAAAAGATTGTTTAAAACAGGGGTGTCGAACTCATTTGTTATGAGGGCCGGATCTGACATAAATGAGACCTTGTTGGGCCGGGCCATGTGTGTCCTAAAATGTAATGCCAGGTAGCGGAGATATAAACTTTATAAAGGACACAAACACAAAGGGGTTTTTTTTAACTTAAAATAAAAACACGCTTAAAACATCAGCACTCTTGCAATATTTAACAGTGTCTGATAACTGACACCTCTTGCTCTGAATTATTGCATCAAAATGTCTGTGCTGTTGCAATCTTGAGTCTGCTGTTCGGGCGTGTATCTGTAAGCTGCAAACCTATGATGACGCAGCAGCAGCAGAACTGGAAGAAGCAGCAGGAGACAGCTAGCTCCACTGCGGGCCTGATAGAAGCCCTCCAGGGGGGCCTCATCCGGCCTCCGGGCTGCACGTTTGACACCCCAGGCTTAAAAGGTCTTTTTTTGAATGGAGCATGTGGCCATTGACAGCCCCTCTCCCTTCCTCCTGAAAGGGCCCTCCAGTTAATCAGCTGGCCACGTGCTCCCCACAGATTAGCTGAAGCCAGTTAAATCTTGCAGGAGGGGAGGGAGAGGGGTGGTGGTCCTTGGAGGTGGGGCTTGTGGGCGGGGCTTCCCCCTGCCGGCCAGCTGACTGCTTGCAACCCTAGTTCTGGCCCCACTGGTGAACCTCCTCGTGGCACCTGGGTTTTAGCCGCGGTGTGACACAGACTGTTGGACTGGATGGGCCTTTGGCCTGACCCAACACGGTTTCTCTTACATTCTAATGAACTCGCTCAGCTCTTCCCCTGGATGCAAACTTCAAGGCTTTTGCCCCATGCAAGTTCCAGGATTTCCAATACGGCCTTTTGGGTAGACAAGCGGGGCCTCTCCCGCACCCCCAACTTTTCCAGTGGAAAAGCTAGTAGGACCCAACCCTCTCTCTGATTTTGATTATTTATGTGAAAGAGTAGAGATGGAAGATTTGGAACAGTCGTTCACCTTGTGGTTAAAATGGTCTTGAGCTCAAAAATAGTGATGGTGGTGGGGACACACATTCCCATCTGTCTGGTTGTACGAGAAGAGTGGGACAGAAATTCAGAGAGTGATTAAAATGTGGGATTCGCTGCCGGAGGACGTAGTGATGGCCACAGGAATAAACAGCTTTAAAACGGGTTTAGATAGATGCATTTATTTATTTATTTATCTATTTATTTGCTTTCAATTTGTATCCTGCCTTACCGGTATGAACTGGCTCAAGGCAGCTTACACAGTTAAAATACAATAAAACCAATAAATACACTAAAATTACAGTTACATGGAGGTTTGGTCTATCAACGGCTGCTAGTCTTGGTGACTGAAGGGAACCTCCACATTCAGAGGCACTAAGCCTCTGAATTACAGAGCCAGAAGGCAACATCAGGGGAAGGCCTCAGCCTCCATGCCCTGTTGTTGGCCCTCCAGGGGAACTGGTTGGCCCCTATGTGAGACAGGATGCTGGACTACATGGACCCCTGGTCTGATCCAGCAGGGTACTTCCTATGTTCTTATGAAGGCCTTGGCCTCTATGCCCTGTTGTTGGGCCTCCAGAGGAACTGGTTTGCTGCTTGTGAGACAAGATGCTGGATTAGACGGACTATTGGTCTGATCCAGCAGGGCTCTTATGTTCTTGTCAGAGCCCTGCCTGAGACTCTGGAGAGCGGCTGCCAGTCTGAGCAGACAAAAGTGACCTTGACAAAATTGATGATCTGACTCAGTGTAAGGCAACTTTGTGTTCATATGTGTGTCTGTGTGACCCACACCTTCAGGGTGGAGTGAGCAATAGAAAATGACTCTTCTCCACTGGCTGCCAGAAGGCATTGCAAGTAGGGAGAAGACATTGCAAAGAGTACGTCCAAATTCTAAAATACACATAGGATGCACCGCACTCCATATAGAAGAAGACGAAGAAGAAGAGGAGGAGGAGATTGGATTTATACCCTGCCCTTCACTCAGAGTGGCTTACAATCTCCTTCCCCTTCCCCTCCCCACAACAGACACCCTGTGAGGTAGGTGGGGCTGAGACAGCTATTTCCAGAACTGCTCTTTCAAGAACAGCTCTGACAGAACTATGGCTTGCTCAAGGTCATCCAGCAGCTGTAAGTGGAGGAGTGGGGAATCAAACCCGGTTCTCCCAGATTAGAGTCCGCGCACGTAACCACTACACCAAACTGGCTCTGTTCAGCCTATACTGTTCAGCCTATGCTGGAGCATAAAAGCTGCGTGAAGAATGCTTCTTACCTGTGGCGGAAGCACCTCCACTCCTCCCCTGATTTCTTGGCACACCTGAGTCGGCTTCCCGCTCCCGAGTCCTGGTGGATAGATCTTCACCAAGTTATTGGGTGTCACGTTGAGGTAGTGGTTGCGATGAGATGGGGAGAACACGCCCACCTGTCGAATCAAGGCAGGCATTTGCCAAAAATTTTATATCCCCCCCAAACCTCCCCCCAACCAAAGAGGGCTCAACACAATTTTGCAAGATGACCCAAGGTGCTGGTTCTCACCTTTAAACCCCTATATGGCCAGGGGCCTGCATACCTGAGGGACCGCCTTTCCCCATATGTACCCCAGAGAGCGCTGCAGTCAGGGACCCAGAATCGGCTGGCTCTCCCGAGCATCAAGGATGCCAGACTAGTGACAACTAGGGCCAGGGCTTTCTCGGTGGTGGCTCCACTCTGGTGCAATGAGCTCCCAGAAGAGACCAGGGCCCTGCAGGACCTCTCACAGTTCCACAGGGCCTGTAAAACGGAGCTCTTCCGCCAGGCCTTTGGAGCCGCCACCACTACTGACATCTGATAGCCTACGATGAAAGATCCCCTGGATCCTCCAACTACTGCCTGAACTGACCACCCAAGATAACTGAAGATTAAGGAACTGACTGAATGATGAGGAAACTAGGCTCTAGCAGTGTTTCCTCTAAGCTGAGTTGGTGTGAGTTATCTCCAGGGGTCATTTCATAGATAAAGAGGTGCAGGAGCTCATTAGCATAACTCATAAGCATAACTTATTTGCATATGCCACCACCCCCCGACATCACCGGAAGTGTGTCAGAAGGCAACACCCACCACTCAGGCTCCACTGGACTGTTTTGGATTGCTAGCTATTGGGGGGGGGGGGAACATGCAGATCTGTCCTCGCAGAGGAGGGAGAGCTTGTACCCGAAGGCGGGCCGGGGGTGGGGGGGCTCTGCATCTTACCTGGCTGCATGTTCCTTACCTGGCTCCTTACTGCTGGAGCTCCGCTCCTGTGCGCTCCCACAGGAAATGACCCCTGGTGTAACTCTACTTAGAATCAGTGTTCCCTCTAAGCTGAGTTAGTGTGAGCTAGCTCACAGTTCTTCAAGCTCCGGCTCACACATTTTTTGTCTTAGCTCAGGGAGGAGGGCTCCAGAGCGAACTAATTTATGCAGGAGCCAAGTCGCTGGCTCACAACTTTAATGCCCAGTAGCTCACAAAGGAGAATTTTTGCTCACAAGACTCCACAGCTTAGAGGGAGCATTGGGCACCAGCACTTTATTATATTATTATATTTATGGGTTTTAAGAATTTTTGTAACTGTTTTTATGTAAGCTGCGTTGAGCCAGCCTCGGCTGGGGTAGAAATCTAATAAATAAATACATAAATAAATAAATACTCAGTTTCTGGATCTTCTACAAAGGAAGGGCTGGTATACTCCCTCCTTCGTAAAGGACCATTTGCCCCCTTGGGAAATTCATCAAAGCCTGTCCACGCCGGGATTTACTTTTCAGTACCTGCTTTAGCAGAAGGACTGAGCCAGCTTTAAATTCACTCTCTCTTTGCTCCAGCAACAGGCGATGGATCGTGCCTTGCATCTCCCCTGCACCCGCAAGAGAAAGACAGTGAGACGCGGGAACAAGGACTCTTGGTCGCCAGGAAGCCAAAACAGAAATATACCGGCTGTTACCCACCAAAACCCCAACCCTGTCCGGACACAGAAAGCGAAGGCAGGAAAAATCCTGAGCGCTCTGAAAAGTCATAAAATGGAGGTAGAAGAGTGATACTGTAAACTGCTTTCTGGATCCCCATGTGGGGAGAAAAGCAAGGTATAAATATCTAAATATGTGTGTGTGTACATGTGCAGCGAAACCTGAGAAAGGGCTGAAACATGTGCTCCCTCACCACCTGCATTCCGAAATGAGGACCACAAGTTGCTCTGGATGTCTGAATTAACTTCAAGTACACAGCAGCAAGGTGGGTGCGGTGTGGTGTGCCAGGAGAAGCACCCTTAGGGGAAACAGGCAAAAAGAAGCCACTCTACACAACTCAGTTAACTCACAGGATGAAAAAAGTACTAAGAAGTACCACCCTTTATAGTTATCCTGGATAGGATACATCACCTATTTAAAAAATTCTTGGGAGAGTGATATCCTTCGAAGTGACGATTGTCAGAACAAAAAAAAAAATACATTAACGTGCCCTAAACATACATTCAAAAAGACTCCACTGCAAACAAGACAGGCATCCGGTACATTGTCCTCTTTCTAAGGACATCTTCATCAGAAGAAGGCAGGATGGAAAACCATCAAATGGATTTTCAAGCATGAATGTTTAGACCAGGGCCCCCCAGCCTTTTTGAGCCTGTGGGCACATCTGGAATTCTGACATGGCATGGTGGGCGCAGCGACAAAATGGCTGCCAGAAAATGGCTGCTGCAGGAGGCGGAGTCAGCCACAAAATGATTGCCACAGCTTGAATTCGGTAACACAGGGTTACAGTGCCTAGTACTGTGGTGGCAGCTGCTGCCAAAGCAACCTATTAAAAAAAATCTGCGCAGCCAATCAAATCTCCAATAGTCCATAAGAAGACTCGGTTTAGAATTTGGTCATATGGAAGAGAGCCTGGACTTCTTACTAGAGGTGTGCGCTCAGTATATACCAAGCCGAATAAATACCCCCCAAAATAACTTATCTTTCTCTTCTCTCCCCGAGCAGCTCAGGGAGGGAGGGAGGGAGGAAGGAGAAGAAGAGGAGATTGGGTTTATACCCCGCCCTTCACTACCCGGAGTCTCAGAGCAGCTTACAATCTCCTTTCCCTTCCCCTGCCCACAACAGGGCTGAGAGAACTCTGACACAAACTGATCTTTTTCAAGGACAGCTGTGCCAGAGCTTGTGACTGACCCAAGGTCACATCAGCAGGTGCAAGTGGAGGAGTGGGGAATCAAACCCGGTTCTCCCAGATTAGAGTCCGTGCACATAACCACTACACCAAACTGGCTCTCACACCAAACTGGAGGAAAGGCATTCCTCCCATGTAAACCAATCAGTGTGGCAGTCCATCCATCAGCTGATCGGTTTCCATGGGAGGAAGCCATTTCAGCCCTCCCTTTCGCTCCTCCTGCTCTGGAGTGGGGGAGCAAAACAGAGCTCTGAAATGGGTGCCAGGCAGGCATTTAAACTCAATAGCTGACTGGCGACTCCACCTGTTTAAATGGCTGGTAGTTGAGTTTTGGTATAGCTGAATTAACCCAAATAAAAGCAGAATAAAATTGGCTTTTTTCAGGCTCAGCTGTATCAGTGGCTGAATACAGAACAGATCTGTATTCGGCTTACATTCAGTTCGGATTATGCCGAATGCACACCACTAGCGGCAGGCAATGTCTCTTCACTCCTAAGGACTGAACTGCTTCCGCCCTTACCAGTTGGGTCTCTGAATATGGCGCCTGCGTCAACCTTGGTCCGTGTCAGCGACTTAATCATCACCGCCATGTTGGGGACCTTGTTCTTTGGGAGCTGCTTGAGAGCTGCCTGTGTGGAATGATCAAGAGACACACTGTGGGACAACAGCAAGGAAAGGAACTCTGAAGTAGGATTTGTTTTCGTTGGTGTGGGTTTTTTAAAAAAGATTTGAGAAAGGATGTTTGGATACTTCCCCACTGCAAGCCTGTATAGTGGGAACATCGATAGCCCCTGCCCTACAAACGCACTCATCAGTAAGCCAGCAGCATATGCCTTTTTTAAAAATTCTGACAAACGTCCCGTCCCAGTCCCACCCCGGTACCCACCCGCCTGCAGAAGAGGAAGCAGCGGGAAGTCTCTCGGATACAATTCCTCCTGGACTTATGCAGTACTGGATACACTTTGTGGAACAACATCTGTCGAACTACCCTCACAGCCTGCTTCCTTTAGGCTTGAGATCGATTCCAAGAAAGAGGGCAGAAAGGAGACTGCTAGGCAACCACCCGCACATCACGTCTCACGTAGTGGGAAGCGATGGGGGGGGGGGAGGAAATCGGGCGGCTGCCCAGCAACCAGCCCATGATTCCTTCAAATCTCCCTCGTCCTGGATTAGGTCTCTTGCCAACACAGAATTCAGCAAACAGATGCGGGCAGTATTGCTTGTAACATGGGCCACTTGATGGACCTGACATGGCCCAACATAGTAGTAGTAGTAGTAGTAGTAGTAGTAGTAGTAGTAGTAGTAGTAGTAGTAGTAGTAGTAGTAGAAAACCCTGCCCTTCACTATCCAAGGGTGTCTCAGAGCGGCTTACAAACTCCTTTCCCTTCCCCTCCCCACCACAGACACCCTGTGAGATAGGTGGGGCTGAGAGAGCTCTTGACAAAAACTGCTCTTTTTCCAAGAACAGCTCTTATCAGAACTGTGGCTTGCCCAAGGTCATCCAGCCAGGTGCAAGCGGAGGCGTGGGGAATCAAACTCGGTTCTCCCAGATTAGAGTCCGCGCATTTAACCACTACACCAAACTGGCTCATAAGAACATAAGAGAAGCCATGTTGGATCAGGCCAATGGCCCGACCAGTCCAGCACTCTCTGTCACACAGTGGCCAAAACCCAGGTGCCATCAGGAGGTCCACCAGCGGGGCCAGAACTCCAGAAGCCCTCCCCCTGTTGCCCCTCAAGCACCAAGAATGCAGAGCATCACTGCCCTAGACATAAGAACATAAGAGAAGCCATGCTGGATCAGGCCAAAGGCCCATCCAGTCCAACATTCTGTGTTGCACAGTGGCCAAAACCCAGGGGCCATGAGGAGATCCACCAGCGGAGCCAGAACTGCAGAAGCCCTGCCACTGTGCCCCCCCCCCCACGCACCATGAAGACAGAGCATCACTTGCCCCAGACAGAGTCTCCCATCTACGTCTTGGACAAACATCTTTCGAAAAGTCACCACTTACAGCCTTTGCACCCCAAAGAAAAGGGGAGTCTCCAAAGCAAAACCTTCTCACCCCAAGGCCAGTCCCTAGGTTTGTACCTTCCGAAGCACCATGGCCACACTGTACGTTCTCAGGAAGCAGGATGGATCCCGCTCGTCCAAGGCCAGCTCGGCTTTCATGGTGATCCAGGCACCTCGGCCACATTCTTCTCCCGCTGGCTGCTGGGAGACGGGAACGTCCTAAAATCACAGCACACAATTCCCGGTCAAGGCTTCCCTACGTCCTACCACTGGGCGAATGCTCGGAAAGCAAATGATTCCCCAAGAAGCTGTTTTGCCTATTCTATTTATTTATTTGGATTTGGATCCCACCCTCCTCATGAGCAGCCTCAGAGCGGATCACATCATCAACAGGTAAAAAAACCATACATTAATAAATACAATAATTTTTATGACGACTTAAGTAGTACGAGAACTACTTAAGTAGTTTGAGACCCGAGTGTGCCGCATGACGGAGTGAGCTCCCGTCTCTAGTTCCAGTTCCTGCCAACCTAGCAGTTCGAAAGCAAGAAATTGCAAGTAGATAAATAGGTGCCACTTCAGTGGGAAGGTAACAGCGTTCCGTGCGTCTTGGTGTTTAGTCATGCCGGCCACATGACCACGGAAATGTCTTCGGACAGCGCTGGCTCTTCGGCTTGGAAACGGAGATGAGCACCGCAACCCTAGAGTCGGATTCGACTGGTTTTCGAGCAAGGGAACCTTTACCTTTTTAAGTAGTACAATTTAAAACTACTGTGTATAACCACAAACACAGTTTCAGCTGGAGTGACGGTGTCCAGAGGTCTTCTTAATCTGGGCCGAATAATGAAGACAGACTTCAGTGAGGGAGGCCGACTTCATTGGACGCCCTCTGGCCCAAACAAAGGCCTGGCGGAAGAGCTCCGTCTTACAGGCCCTGCGGAATCATAATAAGTCCCACAGGGCCTTGAACACAAGTGGGAGCCTATTCCGCCAGGCTAGGGTCAGGGCCAAAAAAGCCCCGGCCTTGGTCGAGGCTAGACGGACGTCCCTCGGAGCGGGGACTACCAGCAGATGCTGGTCCTATGAGCGCAAGGCTCTCTGGGGCACATATGGGGGAGAGGCGGTCCCGCGGGTATGTCAGTCCCTGGCCACTCAAGGCTTTAAAGGTCAACACCAGTACCGTGGAGCGGACCTGGTACTCAATCGGTAACCAATGCAAATGGCGCAGCACCGGATGGATGTGTGCTCACGCAGGCAACAGTCAGCGAGCGCATCGCTGCATTTTGCACCAGCTAGAATTTCCGGATCAGCCACAAGGGTCAGCCCGCGTAGAGCAAGTTACAGCAATTAAGCCTGGAAGTGACCACTGCGTGGGTCACTACAGCCAAGTCCTGGGGGGAGAGGTGGGGAGCCAGTTGCCCAATCTGCCGGAGGTGACAAAAAGCCCTGAGTGATGATATTCCTATCAGCCGAACTCACGGTGCTGTTGTGAGGCTAAGACACAGGACAGCAGAACCCCGAAAGCTGCTCTGAGCTCCCTGGAGAGATAAAAATGTAACAGACAAACGCCAAGCCCCAACATAACACCAGTTTGCATTCAGGATAAAGAAGAGAAGAACAGATTGGATTTATACCCCGTCCTTCACTACCCAAAGGTGTCTCAGAGCGGCTTACAAACTCCTTTCCCTTCCCCTCCCCACAACAGAACCCTGTGAGGTAGGTGGGGCTGAGAGAGCTCTGACAGAAACTGCTCTTTTTCAAGGACAGCTCTTATTGGAACTACGGCTTGCTCAAGGTCATCCAGCCAGGTGCAAGTGGAGGAGTGGGGAATCAAACCCAGCTCTTAAAAATTAGAGTCCGTGCACTTAACCACTACACCATACTGGCAGGCCTCAAATAACAGAAGAGAAACACTGCTCTTGTCTCAGGTACGGGAGAGCTGGTTGCAGTTACTTGGTGCAGGAGATCTACTCAGCACATGCCCAGAGGAACACTCTCTTTTTAGATTCTTACTCATCTCTTCCAGGAGGGAGTCCTGGCACTGAAGACATTTTTCAGGATCGGCCACGTAGCAGGCTCGTGCACGTCACCGTCCTTAAGGGCTTAGCTGTGGAAACAGAACGACCCCTCAGCCCGTGAGAGCCAAGAGACGATGTCCCAGAGAAAGACTCCAAAACCCTGCCCGCCTCCAAAATTACAGAAGTGACAGATATCCAGATGACCAGAAGTTTTTGACTTTTTCCATACTTCAAACACAGCAGCTGCCAATGCTGAACAATTCCCTGCAACCGCAAGGGACTCCAGAGCTAGTTTTGCCTTTTGAGCGGTGGCTCAAGTGGTTAAGACGCTGAACTGCAGGCTGTGGAAGGTCAGTAGTTCAGCAGTTCGAGACCCGGGTGCCGCATGACGGAGTGAGCTCCCGTCTCTAGTTCCAGCTCCTGCCAACCTAGCCGTTCGAAAGCAAGAAATTGCAAGTAGACAAATAGGTACCATTTCGGTGGGAAGGGAACAGCGTTCTGTGTGCCTTGGTGTTTAGTCATGCCGGCCACATGACCACGGAAACGTCTTCGGACAGCGCTGGCTCTTCGGCTTGGAAACAGAGAGGAGCACCGCAACCCTAGAGTCGGACTCGACTGGCTTTCAAGCAAGGGAACCTTTACCTTTTCCTAAACACGGAAGGTGCAGCTTCGTAGGACTGTCACCGGCCGATACCACACGGCCCAGCTGCTTCGCTGGCTGCACGGGATTCTGAATCCCCACCTTTGCCATCCGTATTTCTTCTGCTAGAAAGCAAAGGGCAGATGATGAGAGTTACCTCCGTCCGTAGCTTTGCCAGAGCCCCGTGAGTAGGAGTCTGCGGAGCTGAAACCATGATCTCTTCCAGGTTGTTCCCATCAGGCTTTTGAGGAGCAGGAAAAAAAAACAAAGCCGCTTACATTTATGGACACAGTTTCTTGCCCTTGTGTATCCTGTGATGTGATGACGAAAAAGTCAAACTAGATTGGAGGGGTGGGGGCTGGATTCAAATTTGCACACTGTAACTAAGCTTACTGGACTATTCTGGAACAGAAACACTCTCTCTTAGCCTAGCCTACCTTACAAGGTTATCGTGAAGCCATCCTAAGCTCCTTCTAGGAAAGGCCAGATAAACAAGCAATATACAGATATCACGCATGGGCATCTTGAAGTAATCTTGACAGAAATACTAATTTACACAGAGAGTGAGTGAAATGTGGGATTCGCTGCCAGAGGATGTCATGATGACCACAGGAATTAACATCTTGAAAAGGGGATCAGACAGATTCATGGAGGATAAATCTATCAGTGGCTACTAGTCGTGGTGGCTGAGGGGAACCTCCACATTCAGAGGCACTACACCCTCTGAATCCCAGAGCCAGGAGGCAACGTCAGGGGAAGTCCTGGGCTTCTCTGCCCTGTTGTTGGCCCTCCAGAGGAACTGGTTGGCCACTGGGTGAGACGGGATACTGGACTAGATGGACCACTGGTCTGATCCAGCAGGGCACTTCCTATGTTCTTATCAGGGGAAGGCCTTGGCTTCTATGCCCTGTTGTTGGCTCTCCAGAGGAACTGGTTGGCCCCTGTGTGAGACAGAATGCTGGACTAGATGGACCCCTGGTCTGATCCAGCAGGGCTCTTCTGATGTTCTTAGTCCAAGCATACAACAGTTTTAAATGAATTCAAACTTCTAAAAATGCTGAATTTTAGGACTGGATACTAAATCAATTCCCAAGGACTGATCATGGAATCCATCATCCTGCCCAAAGGTTCAGCTCCAATTCCTGGCCCACAGAGGCATTTTCACTTTCAAGTCCAAGACCTATGAACAAACCCCGTGGTTCAAAATAAGAGAGAAAACAGAATGCTTCCTTCTTACTCCGGATGGACCTCTATCGCCATCACCCAACTTTTGGACAGTTTGAGCAACTATAGGTTACTGACAGCTGTAAAAAAATATTTTAAGTCCTTCTTGAACAAAAATTTAAACTTTGTTGTTGTTCAGATGTTGTGCGTATGCCATTTTGAGCATTTGTAAGATTCAGGTGGGTAGCCGTGTTGGTTTGAAGAACTACAACAAAGTTTGAGTCCGGCGGCACCTTTAAGGCCAACAACGTTTAATGCTGGGTATAAGCTTTTGAGTGCAGGAACACGAAAGCTTACACCCAGAATTAAATTTTGTTGATCTTAAAGGTGCCACTGGACTCAAATTTTGTTTCTCAGCGAGGCAGATGTCAGAATCGGACCCTTGCCCGGGTTATTGGGCCATCATATTTGTCACTATGGTTCTCTGATGTACATAGCTATGCTCTGTTATTGCTTCGCCAGCTGTTCTCCCTTCCCGCTTGCAGTTCCCAAGTTCCCATATAGCACCTGCTGGCATTGTATCAATCTGTCTGCAAGGTCCTCCTCTGACATTCCTAGGAGAGGGGGCGAATGAGACATATCTGTGTGAACTGTAGATTAGCTGGGCTTGTACCTCTGTGAAAGGAAGCATCCTCCGCAAAGGCCAGAGGGAACTTTCGCCGTTTCTCATTCTCATGGCCTTGCGGAGAGACTCAAGTGATAACATTCACACTGTCCTAATTGCACTGTATTAACCTGTCTACGCACTATGTAATCATGGTGTATGAATGAGGGCTGGACCAAAGGTCTCGTAGTTCCCCACTTTGTATTATTCCTTAGTTCTGTCAAAAAGTTCAACTGCACAGCAACTAAATCAGTTTTCTCAATAAAGCCTGGAAAAGGAATTATTGCGTCTGAGTGGTTCCTGACGAAGCTGACAGCAGAGGAAAAAATTCTAAGCCACTGAGCGTCCCAACAACCAGGGGTCATTTCCTGCAGGAACGCACAGGAGCGGAGCTCCGGCAGTAAAGAGCCCAAGGGGCAGGCACATGCAACAAGCCCCACCCCCCGCTCCCAGCAGCCCTCAGTCAGAGCAAGAAGCAGCCAGGTAGGTTGCAGAGCCCCCATGGCCCCCCGGCCCAAAACAGTCCAGTGGCACCTTTGAGACCAAGTTTTATTCAGGTACAAGTTCTCCCTTCTCTGCGAGGACAGATCTGCACGTCCCGTCCCCCACAATAGCTAGTAATCCAAAACAGTCCAGTGGAGCCTGAGCAGTGGGTGTTGCCTTCTGACACACTTCCAGTGATGTCAGGGGGTGTGGCATGTGCTAATGAGTTATGCTAATGAGTTATGCTAATGAGCTCCTGCACCTCTTTTTCTACAAAATGGCCCCTGCCAACAACGTGTTAAAAAAGGCCACGCAAGACAATACAACTTAAGCATTACCCAGCAGCCTCCGTGAGACAGAGGAAGTGGCAGGTAATTTTATTCCCCGTTCAGAGGATTTGCGGTGATTGTGGGCTGCAACAGAAGGAGGGGAGCGAAGGAAAACAGGATTATTGTAGTCTGCCCTCCTCCTTCCACAGCACGTTGGAGGGAGATACATTCTCATCTCCATATTTGTACATTTTCAGACTGTATAATTCCCCGTACTCTACAACTGCTCTTACTTGCTGTGGCAGAATGCCGGCAGGTCCTGGGAAGCGGCGAGTCTTGGCCTGCGAAGGAACGCGAGCCAATGGCTGAGGAGGCTTGTTGGCGGCTGTCACCAGGCGGACAAGGTGGTTGGTGACCACGGGCATTTGGAGGCTTCCGGAGGGAGGAATTGAACAGGGTGTTCTCGGTGTGGCCGGCGAGGACTCCACAGACAACACGGGGGAACCATAAGCGGTAAGCAGCTGAGCACCCCGGTTTGCCATTTTCGGTGTGAAAGAACTCTGGCTGGGTATCTGTGGAGCGAGTGGTCTTGGCGGGGCGATCCCTGAAGGGGAGGAGGGTCTAACAAGAGGCAGGCAGGAGCTGTTGTACCCAGCCACAGGTTTATCCGGAGAGGCAAGAAACGACTTAGGCAGCTGGAAACCTGGGCTTGAAACGGTACCTACAGCGATGTCCATTCCTTGGTTAGATTGTGAGGGGTGGGATCCCACAGCAGTGGGCCTCAGAGTCAACCTCGGGGAAGCCTCCGCTGGCTGGAGATGGCTGCCGACCCCCGCCAAGGCTTCCTTCAGAGTCCTTTTCAACCGTGTTGTCTCCATGCTGACAGGGCTGCTCGACATGGCTGAGTCTGCCACCCGCATTTTCTTGGCCATTACTGTATCATGACCACGCTGATCCCCCACCCTCTCGCAGTCAGAGCCAGAAGGTGTTTCCGACTCTTCCAGATCCATGCAGGCTGCCAAGAACAGCTCATTATCCAAATCCTCATTATGAGAGGAAGTTACAGCTAGAGGTCTCTTCACAAACTTGAACCTTGGGCCTGAACTGCAGCATGGTCCACTTTGGGCCGGTAAGGCCGTCTGGTCCTTCGGAACTCTGAAGCCGGCCACCGAAGGAGATGCCACCCGGTTGTTTGACTGACTGATCTTGCTGGGGCAGCTGTCCTGCAGAAAACTTAGTCTGGAGTAGTTTTGAACGGGCAGGACTGGGGACAGAGCCTCAGTGGTGTCGCTGGGGTTTCTCAGTGCAGACGACGAGGGTCTCAGACATCTTGAACTGGCAGGAGTTGGGCCTGAGACCTGCTTCTCTACATCTTCCATGGCCAACACAAAATCCTATGTTAAAAAAAGAAGACAAGAACCTTAGTAGATGGCGTTTCGTCTTAACTATACATATGTACAGTGTGACAGATGGTGCTCTGTCTACGCCGGGACTCTCCAAAGTCCCAAACAAATACAAACGTTTGCTCCCTCCATCCCGCCTAGATGCTCCCACTGTACGGCTACGATTCACAGATATTCTCCTACCTCATCTTCAAACTCTGCCTCCACAGCAAACAGCTTCTGTATTCCGCAGGCCTTTGGGGATCAAAATAATAATTGTTTTCAAGACTTATCCACACTCTAATGAGACTGCAGTTTAACACCAACATGAATAAAGCCCTGTTGGTCTTAAAGGTGCCACCGGACTCTTAAATATGTCCTGTATTAGTAATATGAAGAGTGACTGTTTTCTTGTCTCATAATGAGAGAATGAAACCTCACCCAACGTAACTGACTGGCGGCAGATTCAGGAGAGCCTGTAAACAAGTCCTTCTTCATTCAGCGTGTTATTAACTTTTGGAACTCGGTACCGGAAAATGGGGCAACCACTAGATCGCTTTGAAAGGAGATTACCAAGAAGCAGCAGGGACCCAAAACAGAATGTAAACAATAAAAAGAGCCAAAAAAATAATAGAGAGACGTTTGCTAAATAAATACTAGAAAACATAAGAGTCCCGGGGCACCTTTAAGACCAACAAAGGTTTATTCAAGGTATGAGCTTTCACGTGCAAGGCACACTTTTTTCAAATACATTGGAATGGCAGGCAAGGTTCGAACTTATATCCAGAGCAGTGTTCCCTCTAAGCTGAGTCAGTGTGAGCTAGCTCACAGTTTTTGAGCCTCCAGCTCACACATTTTTGTCACAGCTCAGGAAGGGATGGCTCCAGAGCAAACTAGTTTATGCAGTAGCCAAATCGCTCACTCACAACTTTAATGCCAGTGGCTGACAACGTAGAATTTTTGCTCACCAGACTCCACAGCTTAGAGGGAACTTTGATCCAGAAAATGAACAGCAAAATTAACATGTAACATGATGATGTTCAGGATATGCAAAGTTACACTAAATAGTATGTTAAGGTTATAAGGTCAACAGTTGTAAAGCAATAAATATGTCAAAGGTAAAGGTAAAGGTTCCCTTGCTCGAAAGCCAGTCGAATCCGACTCTAGGGTTGCGGTGCTCATCTCCGTTTCAAAGCCGAAGAGCCAGCGCTGTCCGAAGACGTTTCCGTGGTCATGTGGCCGGCATGACTAAACACCAAGGCGCACGGAACGCTGTTACCTTCCCACCGAAGTGGTCCCTATTTATCTACTTGCAATTTCTTGCTTTCGAACTGCTAGGTTGGCAGGAGCTGGAACTAGAGACAGGAGCTCACCCTGTCTTGCGGCACCCCGGTCTTGAACCGCTGAACTACTGACCTTCCACAGCCTGCAGTTCAGCGTCTTAACCACTTGAGCCACCGCAGCTCAAAAATATGTCAAAATAGCAGATAAATGTCTAAAGGTGTATTTTCTAATTGTGGGAAGTGACTGGGAATCTTCATTGAAAGCACACACCTTGAATCAATCTTAGTTGGTCTTAAAGGGGCCACTGAACTCTAAATTTGTTCTACTGCTTCAGACCAACACGGCTGGCCCACCTGGATCTACCAGAAAACTGTCGCACCTAAACAACAAATTAAAGAAGCAAAGACACTTTGAAAATTATCATTTGACAAGACTCCAGACTGAGAAAGTTTCAAAGGCCCCGGTCACACGGAGCATTAGCCACGCTAGAGACAGAAGATAGGCGGATTTTCCGGGCGCGATCTCACCGCCACATCTGGGAAGCATAGAGCTCCCGTGGCTCAACCAAGGCTTCCCACCGAAGATGCGCGGCAAAAAACTAGTACCTCCGAGGTACTAGTTTCCGGAAACTGCGGGGCAAGGGCGGGCATCTGATTGCGTTTCCGGTCGCATCCGGCGCCCGCCCATGCCCCATTGCGAAAAGGTTTTTTTTCCCTGAAGTCTCCAGGGATGCGCACAAGCACCCAATGGGGCATGCGCATACTTCAGGTTAAAAAAACCAAAACACAACCCCGTTTGCCGTGCCGCGCTGCTTCTTTGGTGCGTCGTGTGATCGGCACCTCCCCCCTAACCACGGGACCTCGACGGGACCAAGAGGAGACGCCTGATCGTGCAGTCGCGCGTTATTTCACTGCAGGGCAAACAGCCACGCCTCCCCCCCGCGATATCTGGCCCGTGTGACCGGGGCCAAAATTAGTTTTACATTAAGCTTAAGTTTAAATGATGTTAGAGAAGATGAGAATTTATTTTCCCTAGTAGACTACATCCAAATTCAACTTTGAAATGGAAGCAAGTTTTGTATGCATGAGGGTTTGGCTCAATAGGAACAGGCTTTAAAGTTTTTTTAAAAAAATGAAAAACTGTTATCCACGTTGTAGAGATTTTAAAACCGATCAAGACTCAGTTGCCTCTATCAGTAATCTATACAGGTCCCGGTCACATGGGCTGGAAAATGCGGGGGGGGGGAGCGTGGCTGTTTTCCCTGGAGCATAGTAACGCGCAGCAGCCCGATCACATGTCCTGTGGAGGTCCTGTGGGTATGCCGCTAGGTGCCAATCACACGCCTATCCTGCAGCGTGGCAAAGAAGCGGCGCGGCGCAATCACACCGGCAATCACTAGGCACCGCATCCGTGGCAAACGGGAATTTTTCCCATCACCACAGTGTGCGCATGTGCCGGTGGGCGCTTGTGCACATCCTGTGGAGACTTAAAAAAACCCCACATCTAGTTTGCAACGGGACATGGGCAGGCACCGGATCCCACGGGCAGGCACCGGATCCCTACCTGAAATTAATCCCCATTCAAAATGGTTTCACAATCCAGAGTCTTGTCAACACATTTACATAGTGTCCTTGTTTCTTTAATTGGTTGTATAAACATTGCAACGGTTTTCTGCAATTCTTATCTATTTCTATAGCAACATCTAGGTTTATATTTTTCTGGGTTTTTTGGGGGGGAGTTATTTAATCCCTGGGGTTGGTTTTGTTTGGAACAGGGGGGAAAAAGTATACAAAATGAGAGCCTGCCATTCTAGCATACTAACTATGCCAACATAACATTGAGACATATGCCAACTATGCGAACATAACATCCATACTCCCAATTAAGGCCCAAATGATTTTTTTAAAAAGAAGGCTTAAGGTTCCTACGTACTACAGCGACACTTGCCCTTTGTCCCCCCCACCTCCCAAATTTTATTTAATTCGTTTTTACCCTGTCTTTCTCCCCAGTGGGGACCGAAAGTGGCTTAGGTTGACGTCCTCCAGTTTATCCTCAAAATAACCCTGTGAGGGAGGTCACACGCTACCTGAGGGAGATTCCTGTGAAAAGCACAGGCCTCCTCCCTCCTTGGTCACTCTGAGGTGGTGGTCCTGATGAGCTACGCCAGTTATATATGGGTCCTGTCCATACGAGGCCTTTTGGGCCAGGAGCGGGACGGGCGCAAACGGGCGCGATCCCACCGCAACATCTGGGAAGCGTACCGTCTCCGTCCCTGATCCAGCCCTTCCAGCGCTGCTCCGCACCAAAAAAGAACCACCTACCGAGGTGGTTCTTTTCGAAGGGCCGCAGCAACGCTGACCGTGGGATCACCGGCGCGTCCTTGCGCCGGCGCATCCCTGGCTCCTGGCCGAACTGCACATGTGTGAGCATGCGCAGTTCGCCAGGCTCCCCTCCCCACCGTCG